AAGTCTTCTTGCAAACAGAAATGAGAAAGCAATTGATTCAGCAATTCAATACATAATTTTTGCTTAGATAATGATCTGTATTCTCCCAATCTGGAATCTTCCCAGGAATAGTCTTAACTCAATGATGTAAGATAACATGAACATTCTTATATTTCTGTACTTTATACACATAATGATAAAGTACAGATTTTCAGTTAAAATTTTCTGATTATTCCGCTATTGATCTATTGATGTTTACATGGTTTGCTATGATTCTCATAGTTCACTGATAATTTTGACACCCAATTTGACAAATTTTGCAATATTTTCTGTTGTGTTTGTTACTGGCTCCCCAAACTCTCATCAGTGATGCTTTCTCTTCCCTCAGAAAAATGTTTAATCCATTTGTACACTGCTATTTTCTTCATGGAATCATATCTCCCCAAATTTGGACTATCATGTCCCTGATTTTACTTCTACTTTTGCCAAGCTTTACAAGAAGTTTTTGAATATTTGTTCATTGTTCTAATTCAAGTTCTGACATTCTCATGATGGCACACAAAATCATGTAGCACAATAATGAACATGACTCAGCAAGACACCACCACCACCAATCAACATGATCACAACTGTGACACACTGATATTCCCAGTTTATGAAACCTACAGAGTTATTTGTACACTGCTGCCAAAGCACACAGTGACAAGCTCACAAACTTAATTTTCAGACTGTGGTGTGTGTGTACATGTATGTATAAAACATATATGCATGTTTGCAATATGTGTATACAAAGTACATATACATATTGACTTTGTGCTTGCATGTATACAGTAATAAAAAATGCATTATTTTTAAGACAAAAAATAAATACTAAAAAGTATCAGGCAGATAAACTTATGCATTCCATCCTTCTTTATTTATAACTTATAAATGGTCACCGGGTAAATTGATGACTTGGGCCTTGCAGTACCATTTACTCAAAAGCTCATTCCTTTTGCAAATGACTCAAGGCTTATAGCAAGATTTACCCAGGTTTTTTTTTTTTTTTTTAATCACTCTGTTTTACATTCATGCATTTGTGAGAACTCACATGCCTTGACTTCATAGATTCTAGTTTGGACACATCTAAACTCAAAAATCTATCATCTTGCACCTGGTTCCTTTAGTCTAAAAGCTGAGCAAGTTCTACTAGCAAATTTGGTAAAATATGAAATGTTTAAGTCTGAAAAAAGCAAGCAGAGATGAACAATAAGGCTGAGTTACCACTGCAATGTTAAAGTGTGGTAAGAGTATGATTTCCAAGCCTCTGAACAACAACATTTTCATCCTTTTCAAAATGTGCACAGAACCTTAGTCAGGAGTTCATCATTCAGTGATCTCCCTGGGTCCTGTTTCAGGGATTTAGAACCTGGTCATCAATACCATTCTGTAACATACAAATTGTTATGTTTTCCTCTTAATTATTAACAGAAAGAGAGAAAAGAAATATTTCCCAGATCTAAGCCCTTTTACTCCACATCTACAGTTTCCTAGTCTTCTTATACAAGTATGGAATCTATATTATATATTTTACATATTTGAGGGTACAGTGTAATAACTCAACCCTATAACATTCTTGAATATTTTAGTGCCTCATTTTAGCTGTCCAATGATTCTCCATCCGTCTATGGAAAAAAACTGATACTTGCACACACCAAAAAATCTACCTTTTTCAAACTGTATTCAAAGTAATGATGGTCTGTCTCTTTCTACCTGTTTACCAGAGCGACTATGAGAATGAAGTAAGTTACTGTGTGCTGTTAAAACTGATTATTTGAAAAGGGCTAAACTGTTGCTGTTAATTGTGAGGACCACATGTAGGGACACTCACTAGACCTTTTATTCATTTTGCTACTTTTGCTGGTACACTTTGCCAACTATGGATATCTAAATTATTCCTAGTATTGCTCCATCATCTTTCAATAAGAGATAATGTTTCCTGGGAGGTGCCTGTGGCTCAAGGAGTAGGATGCTGGTTCCATATACCAGAAGTGGCAGGTTCAAACCCAGCCCTGGCCAAAAACTGCAAATAAATAAATAATAAAAAATAATGTATCCAAAAGAATTGCACATACATTATACTATATATCTGAAATGTCTGCAAGAAGGGGAGCATGGCATCTCCTTTTCTACTGGAAAATTCTAAATTACTGGATGAACCCAAGGTATCCTAAAAACTAGGAAAGAAATTTTAAATAACTTGTTTGAGATGCTGATGCAAGAAAAGCAAATCAAAACTCTTACTAGTTAAAGAATTTAATATGCTTTTTATGAAGTATTACAATATGTTGTCAATATCTATTCTCTAATATGTCACTTCCAACACCGTTAGACTCTCAGCTCTGGAGTACAAAGATAGTGTCTTATTCTCTCTTGGATTTGCAGACATTGGCAAGATGCTAATACATAAATCATGACCAATAAATAATGGTTGAATAAATCCATATCCATATTCAGAATTTATTTTCACTTTTCATATTATAACAGAAGCTTGTGACAAGAAGGTCATTTTAGTTTATTATTTTATCAGTTTACATTAATTTGTTTTGAGTCTTCCAGTCTCTCTAAAGATTGTTCAATTTCTGTTTAAGGCTAAGATGTTAAAAGATACATCAACATTTTTAGTCATTTCTCTAGTTTGTCTCCTTTAGACAACCAGTAGAGTAAGTTTTCTTAAGAACTGTATTCAACATTTTACTTCCAAATTGCCAAACAAAAGAGAAACAGCTAATCCTGGAACGTGGGCTACACGCCAAGCACTAGCAAGATTCACTCTTCATATATAATTATATCTAACTCTCACAGTAACCATATATGTGTAGATAGAGACATAATTGTTTAATAATTATTCAGAGGACACAGCCAAGATAGCAGACTAGAAACAGCGTGCACACACCATTTCAGGAAAAGGATCAAAAGTTAAAAGTTTTCACATACTGATGGATCATCTTAAAGCATTGTGAATTACTAGAGAAGCAAGTAGAGAAACCAAATGTGGTTCCTGCTAAACCACTCAGCAGGATCTGATGGTACCTGGGAAAGATACCTGCACATGAGCAAGGGACACAGGAGACAAGACCCTTCACAGGGCTTCTCAAAACCCCCACAAATACTCCGGACCAACCTGCAAGAAGGAACCCTCACCATGGCAGGCCTGAATACCAATCAGGGAGCATGGGAGAGTAGCATCGCATGGGAGAGCAAGCACAGTGGGTCCCGTTGGCTTCTATAATTAACTCCACTCTGAGCTCTCAAGCCCAGACTGCCTGGTGGACACAGGGGTCAGCTCCACCTGAGTTGCCTCCCCCATTGCCTCTGTCAGGTCATTTCTTCCAGCTTTTACAGAAGTTCCTGGACAAGAATAGACGTTCACTATTTAGTCTAGTCTGTGATTATAAATATGCCAGCCGGTAACAATTCCAGGCAAGCAGAACTTTCAGATTCTCCAGAATACTGGGCTACTGCCTGTGCTCTGATTTGAATAAAGCTACTGGCAGAGCTCTGTCGTTTGCTGAGAATACTGGCTGGGCTCAGCAGTCAAGTGAAACTGCTGACTGGGAAGTGTGATTGCCTCTGATTAAACCAGACCACAGGATACATTCTCCGGCCAGGTGGTACTGCTATTTGAATTCCACAGTTGGATAGGTTTGAAGGCTGGGTTTATTTGGAGTCACTGTTTGGGACAGACAAGACCAGCTGCTATGTATGGTAGAAATGTATTTTTGAAGTTTTGTTTGCCTCCCTGCTTGGCTTGGGCCTTGTGCTGGGTTTGAGGCTGAGCAAAGCACTGTTTACACTCCTAGGGGTGGGGGGGCAGTTCTAGCCTCTGCACTTTATGAAAATGCACTGTGGTGGGCATCTCCTGCTTTGGACTGGAGCTTAGGATGAGATATTGGACTACACATAGAAGCTGGCTGTCTAGGGATTCAAACAATGCACTTCCATTCCCACTGCTTATGGGAGCTACCAATTCAGCTTCGCAGGTGGGTTATACCTTTTGCTGGTACCATTGGGCAATAATGCCAGATATAGAGCTATCCCCAAGGTCAATTCACTGGTCAATGTGAGTTCCACTTTTTTTGCTTTGTTAGAGAGAAATAAAATCACTATGTGGGAATATAGTTAAAATCACAGTGGAAAACTCTAATATAATTGCTATAATATTTTTTAACATATATATTTATATTTGAGAGTCCTTGATAAAAACCCTATGGTATAATTCCTTTTATTTAATATATTATGAGAATAGAATTTATTTTTTAATATCCCTGGAGAAAATTGCTCATTTCCCTGGGTATGTATTTTATTAACTAATTCTGGGAATATGTAAATAAACTCACTGATAATTTTAGTAAAATTACCCAAAATATTCTTAATAGGTTCTTTGAAGCTGAATCTCCCCTCAGCTGTTAATGTATATTATTTTAAACATGCTTGTGTTACCAAAATTTCTTTCTTCCGTAGATCCTTGGTCTTGGGGATTCAAAGAATGAACCCATGGACCACAGATCACTGGTAAGACAGGATTTATTAGACAGAAAGTAATACAGAAAAAGCACCAGAGCTCCTGGCACAGAGTAAGACCCAAGTGGGAAATCTCTGCCTGGATCCTTTGTCTAGGGGTACATATAGTTACATGTGTCCTTTGTAGTTACATTTGGGCAGGACTTGGTAGCAAATGAATGACTACTAGGAGTAACTGTCCTTCTGCTAGGATAAGGTGAATGAGCCATTCCTTCATGAAATTGCTCAGGCCTAGGAAACTTCCATGGAATTGTCCAGGCCTAGGAAATGAGGGGGGTCTCTGTTCAGCCCTGAATAAGAGAAACCTGTATCAAGGTCATTCTCAGCTTCAGAAGTTGTGTGCCTACTCCAGCTTCACATGGGGGGTGTACTGTACTTTGAAATAAGGGAAAATTAAAAGTGGCCTGGGCAGTAGTGTGGGCTGCGCTGTGGTCTCCCTCAACTTCCTAGGGACCCGGATGCTTCGGCAGCCCTGGCCCCTCTCTGTTGCACTTGGTTCTACAGCTCTCACCTCCCTGTGGCCTGCTGCACCAGTACCCCAGGGGCGGCAACTCAGAAGGTGAGGCAGTTCCTCCCATGTCCCAGAGCCGAGGCAAAACCCACCCTGTAGCAGTTGTAAAGGGTTATTGTATAATTCTATCATTTCATTGTTCCTCAAGGAAATATCAATCAGAAGGTGGATAGAAATTGTTGTACCTTTTTTCTTAAAAGGCAGAATAAATGTATCTTTTTCATTTAATACTAATTTTCAACCTAAGTAATTGATAGAGTACTCCTTTAATTTATTCCTAATTTTTATTCAGTTAATGTTACAATAATTATAGTTATTCTTCTTGACCTTAAATTATTTCACTTTAGGGTAGCATCTGTAGCTCAAAGGACTAGGGCTCTGGCCCCATATGCCGGATGTGGTGGGTTCAAACTCAGTCCTGGGAAAAAAGCTACAAAAAAAAAAATTATTTCACTTTAGGCAGTGGATGTCCAGTCACTGGATACCTTCAGTGTCTTTTTGGAAGACCCTATTAAACTTTAGCTATTTTTTTTTTTATTGTTTGGAATTCATTGATGGGTTCCCAATGGGGTTCATTCAAAGAACCAGATTACATTGATTGCAGTTATTAGGTAAAGTCCTTCTTGTAATTGTATGCCACCCCCAAGAGGTGTGCACGCACTGTGATCCATCATTCCCATTCCTCCTCCCCTCTCCCTAGTCCTCATTCTCCTAAACCCCACCCCTTGTATTAGCTTATCTACTGCCATCATATTAGAATTGAGTACATTGGATTCTTGCTTCTCCATTCTTGTGATGTTTTACTAAGAAAAATGTCTTCCACCTGATGTCTCAGAGTGTTGCTGGCTTAGCTTATATATTCCTTGAATATATAAGGTGGAACACCTATGTACTTGAAATTAACTATTTCTCTCAGATGACTAAGACCTCCCAAATATTATTTCCCATCAGTGTCTGACTTAATCCTTAACTCTAACTCTAGAAAATTTCTTTATTGTAACATTGTATGTATCATTTTTACACATAGGTCAAATAAATCATAAAACTGAAACTACTTTTATTGACCAAATGGAAAAATTTTGCTCAAATCTATAAAATATATGAAAGATTAAAATATATAAAAAATAAGAAAATACACACATAAGGTTACTAACTTTCAAATGTGAAATGGACCTGAATAGATTGGTGTGTATTGATCAGGACTGAGGCACAGATAAACGGTTATGAAGTCTGGGCTGTTTTAGTCTGCTTTGTGTTGCTATAACAGAATACTCAGACTGGGCAATTTATAAATATATTGGCTCATACATCTGAGGCTAGAAATCTGATAACCATATGATAGCATTAATCTTATAGGTCCTTAATAATCTTTCTTGATTCCATGTTTAGCTTCTAGGACATAAGGAGAAAGAATGGGGTCCCTTAGGCTGTGCTGCCCCTGTGACTTTGCTGAACTCAGCACACACAGCAACTTTTGAAGTTGAAGACTCGCCTCTATAGCTCTATAAGCTGATATTGCACACTGGTGGTTTTATAGTTCTGGGGTCTTGGGAGCATCCCCAAACTCTGTGACAACACTAGGTATCGCCCTAGTGGAACCCTCAGTGGCAGCTCTTTCCCCTGTGAAATGTCACTGAAACACCCTTTGAAACCTAGCTGCAGGCAGTCAGTCATGCCTTCACATCTCCCACCCTCCCTTCCTGCAGAATTAGCACCACGTGGACATAGCCGAGGTTTATGGCCTATATCTTTTTTTTTTTAAGCCTTTAAAAAAGTCTTTTATTTTCTTTCTTTCTTTTTTATTAAATCATAGCTGTGTACATTAATACTGTCATGGGGTACAGTATGATGTTTTTATATACAATTTGAAATATTTTCACCAAACTGGTTCCAGAGAAGTGTTTGAAGCTGCACCCAGGCCAACTTGAGCCAAGCTTGGGATGGCCAAGAGACACTGCCAAAAGGAGGAAAGAAACATTTGAGGTAGTGCAGGCCAGCAGATGAGAAGGTCCCTGAGATACCTCCTCAAATGTTTTGCCTTCAAGATTCTAGAGCAATTAGTCTGAGATGGGAGGGACAGCCTCAAAGATAATCAAATGGCTTCAGGGTCATTTCCATTGCCTGGATGGGTAGCTCTGGGCTTCTTTCAATATATAGGAAACTCTTTACCAAGTGAATAGTCACTTGGCCACACCTTTGGTTTTCTTCTCCTGAACAGGCCTTTTTTTTTTTTTTTCTTTACATGGCCAAGGTGAGGATTTTCCAAATCTCTTATTTTGCTTTCCTTTTGATTATAATTTCTATCTTTAAATAAATTCTTACTCCTTTCATTTTATTACATGGTATTACGAGAACCCAAGCAAGTCCTTTCAATATTTTGCTTAGAGATTTCCTCAGCCAGATATCCTAGCTTATTGCTCTTAAATTCTGCCTTCCACAAAGCCCCAGGACATGAGCACAGTTCAGCCATGTTCTTTACCACTTTATACACTTTATAACAAGAATGTTCTTTCCTTCAGTTTCTAATCTGTGCTCCTCATTTCTGTCTGGAACCTTATCAGAATGGTCCTTATTGTCCATATTTCCACCAGTATCCCAGTCACAACCACTTAAATAATCTCTAAGAAGTTTCAGACTTTCTAGACAACTCTCCCCTTCTGCACTGTCTACAGAGTTGCTCTTGATGTTCTATTCATGATGATCTAAGATTTTTTTAGCCTGTTTCCCTACATTCTTATAGCCTCTCTCTCACCCAATTCCAAAGCCACATCTCCACATTTTCAGTTGTTATATCAACAAGGCAAATCCTTTTTTTTTTTTTTTTTGGTAGAGACGGAGTCTCACTCTATTGCCCTCAGTAGAGTTCCATAGCATCACAGCTCACAGCAAGCTCCAGCTCCTGGGCTTAGGTGATTCTCTTGCCTCAGCCTCCCGAGTAGTGGGGACTACAGCCACTCACCACAATGCCTGGCTATTTTTTTGTTGTAGTTTGGCCGAGGCTGGATTTGAACCCACTAACCTTGGTATATGGGGCCAGCATCCTACCCACTGAGCCACAAGCACTGCCCAACACCTCAAATCTTTGATACTTCTATCTGTCTTAGTTCATTCTGTGCTGCTGCACCAGAATACTGAGACAGAGTGATTTACAGTGGATAGTGATGTATTAGCTCTCAATTTCAGAGGCTGGGAAGTTCAGTAGCAAGGTGCTGTGTCTAGTGAGCACCTTATTGCTGCATCATCACATGATGGTACCCATGCTATAAATCAGAATGAGTTCAAATTAACTCAGTAACATTAACAAGAAAAATAGAAACAGAAGTTGAAGTAGAATTTGTTTGTTCAAATTTAAAACATAAGTCTGAGAAAAATAATGAAAATTCAATATAATCAATGGCAACTTTTGTTTTAAGCATAAGGCTAAAATTTTCCCTCTGATGTAGTTTTATTTTTATCAAGCAAGATTAAAAGTTAGGAAATAAACAAAAAAGAGATAGAATCCTAGAGCAATCTATATATTACTTTGGAGAAAAGATATAATTAATTATCCATCTAACTGAAATAAGTTCCTTATCAATATATTCAACTGAAGAATGATGAGGTTCATAAATTTGAAAAGGAGAGCTTGATTTTTCATAAAGGACTCCAGCCTGCAGCCTGCAGTTGGCCATTCTGACAGGCTGGTAACCATATCCTCTACCCAGAAGCCAGAAAGAGGCACTGAAGGACACAGAAACATAGTCTAAGTGGGGTGGGTAAGTATACATATTTCATAAGCTATAGCAAAAGTCATGAATATTTATGAAAGGAGAAACTCCAGTATACACAACTTTTGTGCCATCTTTTGTATTACATATTTAAAAATGGTGGCTTGAGGCTTGGCACCTGTTGCTCAGTAAGTAGGGCATTGGCCACATAAACCTAAGCTGGCAGGTTCGACCCAGCCCAGGCCTACTGAACAACAATGACAACTGCAACCAAAAAATGGCCAGGCATTGTGGTGGATGCCTGTAGTCCCAGCTACATGGGAGGCTGAGGCAAGAGAATGGCTTAAGCCCAAAAGTTTGAGGTTGCTGTAAGCTGTGACACCATGGCACTCTACCCAGGGCAAGATAGTAAGACTCTGTCAAAAAGAAAAAAAAAAAGAAAGAAAGAAAGAAATGACGGCTTGAGCATGCCCTAAAGTGGAAGTTTCAGAGCTATGTCAAAAGGTGAAGCAGAAGGCCAACCTCTCAGTAAGCAGCATCCACAAGCAGACCACTTGTGGTCACTAGTGCTCTCTCACCAGGAAGGAATGTTGGTCAGTTGTTTTAAAATCACAAAAGAGAGGGACAATCATCAGGTTGGGTGATATCAGCAGAGGAGCAAATCTTTTCAAAGGAATGGCTTCTGTTTAACTCTTAAGAAATAAAGCTTAATGACTAGTTAGTGAGGGCAGGAATATAATGAGGTTTATCTAACACCCCATACCAACATGGCCAGGAAGTCAATTTTAAGGTTTCTCTGAGGTCCTTTAGGCCAACAGGATATCTGTTCAATTGGTTAAGCAGCTTAGGATTTCATTTGCATTTCTTTTTTTTTTTTTAATTTCAGGTTGATATGAGGGTACAACAAATGTAGACATACAAAAGAAAAATTCTAAAGCAAGAATAAAAATAACATTTAAAAGTTTATGTCCTCAAAATTGTGTTGTCACACATATAATTTAAAAAAATGCATTAGTAAATTATTTTAACCCTATGCATGACTTCTTAAATATTCTATTAATATGTAGAGCGGAAAACAAAAACATACATGTACATGTCACAGTTAGAATTGTATGAATATTTCAATAATACTGCTCAATGATATAGATAGTTGAAAAAAATAATAATCAGTTATTTTTTCTTTCTTTTTTTGTTGTTTTTGTTATTGTTTATTTTGTTTGTTTCTTGTAGTCAAGGTCTCACTCTGTTGCCCAAGCAAGAGTTCCATGGTGTCAGGTAGCTATTTCATAGCAACCCAAACTTCTGAGCTCAAGTGATCATCCTGCCTCAGCCTCCGAAGAG